CCGGAGAGGGTCAGAACGGTTATTCGCTGCTTCTGTAGAGCCAGTCAGCCCGGGTCGGGCCGCGCTGGTGCGTCTCTGCGAGGGTGGACTGCTACAGTGCCCGTACCGCGGGGTCGGGAGCCGCGGTGCAGCCTGGAAGCGGGGCGCGTGTCCCTGACGCTCTGTTTCTGTTCGCCCTCAGCTTGGGCCTGGAGCAGAGGCTGTGCTAAGTCTGCCTGGACTACCGCATGTGGGCAGAGAACCGATGACAGAATCTCTGCCTGGCCTGTCAGTGCCCGGCCTGAGCCCAGGTGTCCTGCTGCATTCGTCCTGGCTGTAGTAGCTGCAAATCCTGTTGACGTGGGGTCTACCCGAGCTAAATAGTCACTGTAAGGCCTGAGCTCTGTTTGACACTAATGCCAATGGAGCAAAAGATTCTATAATCTGAGCACAGATAAATAGGAAAGGTTGATTATGTTCTGTTATATATGTTTTGGCATCATGCACAAAAGTATTTAGCTAAGCTTTACACTTCTAGAACACACAGCAGGAAAACTTTATGAACACTGCAGACCACATTTTGTTCTTCTGCTGTCACTTGTTTTTTTTCTGCGTAGGTGAGCAGTGCATATCGATATGGCCAGTGAGTGCTCAGGCACTTCTCTGCAGCTCCTTGCCAAACTGCTACATGATACTCAAGAAGAAGATGATGATGATGATGATGATGATAAGGAACATGTGGTGAGAAATGCTGCTTCTTTTACATGTTTTACCATAGCCTAACCTTGTTAACTGAGGAGAAGGAAATCTCTCTTTTCCCAAAGTGAGTAAAAAGAGAATGAAAACCTTAGAAGGTCTTGGACTGCCTGAAATAGCTAGAAGACACTTCTACGGTAACAAGCTCTTGAGGGAGGTAATAAGGAAGATGCTCTAGGAAAATAAGGAGAGATTGTGACCAAAAAATGGGAGGGAGATTTAATTTTTCAGCCTGAAGGAAATGAGAACATGTAGTTGAAAGAGCTTTAGATATTTTAGACTTCCCCCTACTTTTCCCTGAAGTCTGCCAGAGATGAAGGCAATTACAGCTAAATACTTCATATGCAGGGAAAAAAGTTGCTTCTCAACTTCTGAGTAAAGGCAAAAATATCCAGAGGGAACTGAGTGTACTAATTCTGTGTGTTCAGCATTGAAGAACTATAGAGATAACTGATCACTGAAGTACAATAGATATGTTGGTGACTGTAGAATAGGGAAGGGTAAGTAATCATTTTAAGGTGAATGATCTGAATGATTAATGAGAGAAATACCTTTCCATACCGATTCATCTCAGGACTAGATGCGAATCACAGCTTTTGGAATACATACATTGTTCCTGCAATATGCAACTGCTGCTTTTATCTAGGCATGCATATGTGCTGGGAAGAAATACCCCAGGAGGGCCACAGATGCCAACAATCACAATGTAGAAGGCTTCTGTGAAAGTTCAAAACTTTTCCAAGTCTCTTAGGATTTTGAACAAGTTATATAATTACATGAATAACAAAAATGGCAAATGCCTCAGTCTTCCTCCAAATCCCTCCTCAACAAGGAGCCAGGTGGCTGACCTTGTGGCTGTGCTTTAGTAGTGGCAATGGTAGCAATATTTGGGATAAACGAGGTGCATATCCCTTGAAATTTTCTACAGGAGGTGGTAGATGTGGCCCTTCACACTCTAACTGCCCTTTAGCTGTTTAATGCCTGCCTTTCAAAACTAGCATTATTGCTGTACATCTTTGCAGTAAACATCCTGATTTTAAAAGAATTTGTTTACATCTTATTAATAAAATGAATGGCACTTCAGAGACAGAAATGGAAAATTGCCACAAGGGATGTCAATTAAGTCTGAGTCAATCTGGGTAAATTAAAATCTTTATTTTGATTTCATTTAATGTTCTGTGCACACAAGGCACTTCTAACAGACCAAGGAATCTTTGTATTTAGAGAAATGCCTCACATTGGCCTATTAGCACTAAATTGATTCATAATTAGAGGAAAATGTTGTTGCCTCATATGATCTCTACTGTCAAAAGGAATCCAAATACTGTGATGGAGTTCTCATGTAGCACCCTTGGTTTTCTGAAATATTTTCATGGCAGGCAAAGCATGGAAATTTTGCCAAAATGCCATGGAAACTAATACTCAAAAAGCACATCTGTCTGTAATACTGTGCTTCTGGGAGTCCTGCTTAAACCCAGTGTGTCAAGGTCTCTTTCTGCTGGGTGAAAGTGAAGAAGAGAGAATGTTCAGTGGTTCAGACATGAAATTGTGGGATAATATTTTTTGGGTTCTAGCAAGGATTTGTTTGACCTCAGATAACATTTTATATTTATTGATATTATCATTGTTACTGAGCTGGGCTCTATGAAAATTGATTGAAGTCTCATTTGCTTTTCTTACAGCCAGACTGTTCTTTTAGCACCATGACTCCTGGTAGTATTGGACCAGCAAAGAAAGAGACCACTGGTAAGGAGGAGTGTTTGTATCTTTTAGCATTCAATCCCATGTTAGCAGACTGTAACAGCTGTAGTAAGTTACCACTGATGGGGTTAGCTTCAGTAAGACAGTGGTGACTGACCTTTGGGCTGGAAATAGCATCGCATTTTTACAATTACACTGTAAAATTCTTCTTTTCCTAAAAGCTTAACTGCAAAATATACAAAGAGAAACAGAATGGGTAACTCCAGAGCATAGCAGCCTTAGGTGGTGATGAGTACAGAGCACAGCCTGGTCATGGGCTGAGAGGAGTCATAACTGAGCAGCAAAGAGCTCCACATAAGTACTCTCATGGAAGTGTTAATGCTCACTTAGAGCAATCAGGAAGATGGGCTCCTAAGTACTCACCTGAAAGGACTTTCAGGGAGTAAACTGCATAGAACTGAGTCTATGCCTACAAGGAGGAAGAGATATGAAACATACCGTGAAATGCAGTCATACCATATTCCCTCTAAAAGTTTCACAGCCCTATTTAGACTACACATAGGGAGAAATAGAAGCTTTCTTCAGTGTTGCCCTCAACAGACTGAGACTTTTTTTAGTTATTCTCCTTCCTGCACCCAGTTCTTTTCCTGAAATCAGACTACTACATGCTTTACCCAACTCCAGGTGTTCTGGCACCATATAGAAAGGCAGACTCTCAGACAATGAGAAGGAATATCTTGAGGGTTCCTAAATTTGTGTCAACACCTTGGATTGTACTCAGGAAAGAAAGGAAGACAAGGTTAGTCTTGGCAAAGTTAATGTAAAGTTCTTCCTGGAGCTAATGCTGTCACATTATTTGGCAGCTTAGTTATGAGCTGTAAGAAAGATGGACAAGGACCAGGATGAGTGTAGCAGGAAAGGAACTGTGGCAAATATAACAAATAAAGTATTTTTGCCTTAGATTCCAACAGTAACCAGAGATTCTACCATAAAAACCTTCAAGTTGCAGATTTACCAGCTTACTAGAAAATATATTTTTTCACGTGGGACAGGCATAAACTGTAGTATTATGCCCATGAACTTTCATGTGTCTTCACTACCTTATCTGGGCTGTGCTCAGTAATTAATGGGAAGAGCTGGATTTCTATTTAAGGAGGAGGTCCTTTTGTGAATTACTCTAGTCACGTAAAAATCTCACGTCAGGGGGGCTTGGGGAAACATTAATATTCATACTTCTACATTTTATGCATTTTGAACTACTAGATATTTTATGGAAAAAAGGAAGATTTCCTTGACATAGAGGTTGTGTAAAGGAGATTTAAAGGAAAGGAAGATAAAACATCCTCCCTCTGCAAATTCTCATTCCTAAGGTACTGAGATGGAGACTGTAATCATTAACTAGAATGCTCTTAATGCAAAGATCTTTCTAAAGTCTAAAAAAATCTACGTTTTCAGTAAAACTAGAGGAACAGAGACATTCCAAAATATGACACTGTGATATTTCTCATCACTTACAGGTACTTTTCAAGCGAAATCTGAAAACAGGAAAACTATTTGGAATACAGAGGAAGTCCCAGAAGGATCTGAATTTGATGATAACTGGGACCCTAGAGAACAGCCAGAGTAAGTGAGCTGAGACTGCCTGCATGGGCTTTACACAGTATTAATGGGAATATGAATCAAACAGCATCTACTGCATTTGAGTGAAAGAGCCATCTGAAAAGCTTGTGTCATGGAAGGAGAAATGAAGGATATCGATGTTGCATCTAAAGCAACATGTGAAGACTGATTTTAAACTCTCCCCTGGGAACCTTCTGATTTCATAAGAGAAATGTAGAGTTGGTTTTTCCCATCATAAGATTACTTGCGGTGTCAGATACTTGTATAAAGTGGGATTAGAAGGGGAAGCAGGCCAGCGAAATTATTTACTAGCTTTCAAATATGCCATTTGTTTGAAATACCTGTCTTTTCCCGCTGCAACCAAGATGCATTCATTTTTCATATTCATAAATTCATAAACTATTCCAACTTATATTTGCATTTCAAAGCATTACGTTCTTTAGAGACAAATAGTACGACAGGAAGGAAGGCTATATGCCAAAAGTTTTGAACTTTTAAATCTTGTCATTCAACCTTAGTCTGTCAAGGGACAGGCTAAAACTAGAGTCTTTTCCCTTGCTCATAGAAAAACAACAACAAAAACATTATTGAAATAGATACAATCAGGCACGTTAGTTGTAGTCTGTAGAGGTCAGAAAGTCTGCAGGGTAAATCCATAAAGCAGCCTTTGCATTTCTAATCACTGTGTTCTGATGCCATATCCTGGAGTGCTAAATGCTAGAGCAGATGGACTTAAGCCCATGAAGCTGCACATTGTACACTCGTTTGTAGTCCAGAATCCTCATTTTCCTCTGTACCTAAATCATTAGGTGTTCAGTTTCCTGATCTAAACAAGAGATTGAGACCCACATGAACTTAGAGCATTTTTTGGCATTCACCTGTAGCCTCACATACTGTTGTACAGTTGTTCTTGAAACCATCACCTGTGAGTAGAACACACTTTCTTTGCACTGTGGGCACAACAGAAGCTTCTCTCATGCCATTTTTTGGCCCTTCCCCTCCCTGCTGGATAAAATACAGTGCTTCTCTGGCCTCAAAGCAATTATGACCTATGTTTCACAGATGAAAAGAAAGCATAAGTCTTTGTAACACTTCATCAAATTGAATCAAGGAAAATTGCCCAAAAGGAAAACAGATGGCTAGAGAGGTGCATCCACAGCTATTACACAGATTTCTCATTGACTTAGGAATTACTATACATGTGTATGAACACTAAAGATGTGAAAAAGGCTTTCTATACATTCTTTTCAACAGCTTCGAGAAGTGACTCACTCCACTTATTCTGCTCAATTTAGTAGGGGTAATGTATGTTCTAAATACAAATTTAGTTTGTATTTCCTCATTCATTAAGTATCAAGAGCAAAGAAATACGTGATTCTACATTTTGTAGATGTGCAGGGGTAGAAAATAAGTGTTGGCTGAATGCAAAAGAATTAAAATTTGGCAAGAGAGTGTAATGCTCAGGTGGCGCTAATAGAACAGAACACGTGTAATAGCAACAGCCTCCTTTTCAAATCCATTTCCCAAGAGTTTGTGGTGTTTGACTGGTTGATAAGTATCATATTCACTTGTGATGCATTTCCTGATCCTTCAAAAGCTGCTTAGTGAAGCAGAGGCAGCAAAGTGAGTGACTTGGAAGGTGGAATGAATGATCTTGACCTGTATTCTAGCTAACTCAGTCATGAGTCTGAACAGAAACCTGGTGCAGATGAGTTGAAGCCTTGAAACTGAAAAGGAGAGGAAGAGAGAGCATGCAATGAGAATATTTACAGTCCTCTGAGAAATACAGTCTCCTTTGCTCTCCTGCCCCTTCTCCAGTATTATTAGGCAACTGCTTCTCTTTCTCAGGTATCAGATTTTATTCAAACAGTGTGTGGGAACAGAGGACGTCTTCTTTGGGATGAGCAGGAAAGACCCCTCTACAGCCTGCTGTGAAGATATAGTGGTGAGCTGAACCTGCATCTCCCATCCCTCCTTTGTGCTCTTTCTCTGCCTTTTTCAATCTTGCAGCCTTCTTGAGGGACAGAATGTAAACACCAAGCTCTATTGCTGCCTTTGGCCTCCTGTAGGATTTTCTTGTAGTTCTTCATGCATTTGTGGATAATATTTACACTTGCTAACCTGAGGAACTCATATATCTCCTCAAGGACCTAGTGTACTCAAGAAAATCTGTGCATACAGACTTGAGGCAAATAAAAAAGTAGCTCTAAGATGAAGTTTCATCTTGGACACAATTTTGGAGAGGAGAGGGGCCGGGAAGGAGATGGTTTTCATCTGCCTGGATTTATTACAAGGTATGAGAGTTAGCAGAATGCTACAAGACTGACAGTCTTTAAAGTTACAGGTATCAGATCCTGTCCCATTATTATATGATCAAAGACCTCCTTGCCCTCTGAACTTCAGGACAGGTAGAACTGCTGTGCATTTTTTCTAGTAGAAGCAAGCTGTCCTTGAAATACACAAAGCAAAGGGGTTTGCCGGATGTAAAATACTTGCCAAGAACATTATCAGCTTAGGTTTTTGAAGAAAACAGGATATCAACACACATCACTAAGCTATTGAAAGCAATTATTATCACTGTCGTATTTTCTCCAATACAAATTACCGACTCAGAATGTTGCTCTTTGACACTAGCAAATATTGATGAAGATGAGATCTTTTATGGCTTGCAGAGCTATGTCTCTAATCACAACTTTACCTCTGCCCATCATTTCAGATTAAAATCAAGCTTCCAGAGACAAAGTACTCAGAAATCACAGTAGATATCCAGGACGAGGTTCTTGACCTTAGAACTCCCAAAAAGTAAGTGAAACACAATTGATGGATGTACAGTTAATATCTGGTTTGAAAGGAGGTTTAACCAAGCCTTCAACTGAATGCTGTGTGGAAAGCAAAGCTAAAGAAGAAGATCAGATTATTAATTGCACATGAGAAATAGATATAGATAAAAGCAACCATAGTCCAGCTGTAGGTGTATAGTGTGCTAGCTTTGATTCTGCAATACTGCGCTCTGAGACAGATTTGAGCTACTTAAACAGCAAGGCTTCAAGGGCCAAAAATGGCATAAAAAACTGCCCGTGGTCTTGAAGGACTTCTTGTGAGCGTGCTTTCCAAATACAAATTTGTACAAATATATAACTGAAGATGGCCAAAAATGTGCAGACACATTTTCAGAAGTTGAAAGCCAAATTGTGAGCATATGCAGGCATGGATGCAGAGATGGAAATGTTACAGGGTTTCGTTAAAGAGATTTCCTTTTGAGTTCTTTATTTTTTTAATAGAGTTATTTCAAACCTACAAAGATAATCAACTGACATATATATACTCTCAGACTTCCTCCCTATTTCTCTCATTGTGCAATTGCCCTCCCTGAGATTTCCAGATAATTCACATGTGTTTTGCTTTAAGTCCTTCACAATAGAGTGCTTTCATAAGAAAGCTTAAACCTTTCTGGGATGGCTTGCTACATTGAATGGGATGTGGGAAGATCCATATGTGAACAGCTTCCTGCAAATAAATTCAAGGTGCAGGCCATGGATTAAGGCCAAAATAATTCTGCCTCTAGTGGACTAACTATAGAAAAGCCACCCTTCTTACAGATAAAACCAAACTGAGTTTGTTACCCGCTGCTTGAATTTAACTCAAAGGTGCAACAGGAGTGGCAAAATGTTTGGAAATGCTGTCTCTGAAACTGGAAAATCAGGAGGAAGAATCGTTCAGCTAATGACCTGCAGAACCTATAGGCAGTAAAAGAGGTAGCTTAGTGCAGTACTGCAGAGGTAGGAAAACCTCAGCATCCCTTTTCTTTTGCAATTCTTTTTGGTGACTCAGATCTGCTGTTATCTTAGTATCCAGGTGTGTCTAGTCACAAGCCTAGCAAATAAAAAGTTTGCTGTAAATCTAATGGTTGCCTGAGTACAGCCTGAGCCAGTGCTGCTTTCACAAATATAAGTGCAAGTCTTCTCGATATGAAAGAAACCACAAGATTTCAAGTTCTACATACTACAGAACACTTTCCTGTCACGGATGTGTAGGAGGGCTCAAGGGAATTTTTTCCAATTCTGTAGTCCTGGGGCTGATTTTAAGCCAAGCTTAGAATTTTAAGGATTTCTCCAAATTATAGCAAATGTCTATCTTCAGTAGGTGTGGTGCAAAGGTGTTTTGACTGTACCTCTTTCAGCCATAGCTCCTACAAGACAGCTGAAAAGGTCTGAAAAAGAATCAGCATGACTTAAACCCCAATTTAAAGTAACCGCCATCTATGCTGCAGTGTTGTCTTGTTGGGCTTTATACAGTTTGGCTGGGCAGATCTCTTGATTCTGAAGTCTCCTTGCTACTGTTCATGCTGTCAATAAAGTGGAGGCCCAAGACTGACCCATCATTCATATTGTTAATATATAAGCCTGGGTGTCCAGACTCTGCATGAGTAAGTAAGTCTGAACTGTTTTCAATAAGAGTTGAATGGATCCAGACTGAGACTGCCTTGTGAGGAGGTAAACCAGAAGGCTTTTCAGCTATTCCAGGAAAAGCTGTGTATCTAACATAGCGAGAGACTCTGAAATAGTTCCTGAGTCCAAGATCCAGCTTTTCTTTGTGTATTATGTGTCTAAGCCATAGGTAGAGGATCATTGAATTAATCTTCAGTGTAGGTTAGCACCTCAGCAACTTCGTAACTGTAACTCCATCCTCATACCTGAACTGTGCTTTGCAGTGTAGACATATCCTTTGTGAAACTGGACTGACTAGAATTTCTACTCAGGCTGCACCACTTATTTCTTTTTACTAGAGGACAAATTCCTGAAGACACATTCAGACTTTAGGGATTATTCAGATTTTTACCACTGAGAGGGCATTATCAGTGCAGCTCCTCCTTCCTCTGCATTTAAAATGCATCACTGTGCAAAGGCAAGAACAGTGGAGAGAGCCCACAGTCCATCATTGGAAACTGTTGTCATAGCCACAGTCAAAAGAAAGGAATAGTGTTGGAAACATTTCAGGGCCTGTGTAGCTGTGCACCACAGGAACCCCACAACCTGTGATGAGAACAAGATCTACTGAAAGAAGATTCCTTGGTAAAAAGATTGGCAAATTGCGAGACTAACTTGCAGTGCCATCTCAATTGCTCACCCAGTCTGAGACATTGAAATTCACTGTGTTCTGTCTTACAGGAAGCTGCTACTGCATCTCCCCTACCGTGTAGACAGCAAGAATGGTAAAGCTCGTTTTCTCTCTGAAGAGGAAACCTTGGAAGTCACCTTGAGGGTATTAAGGAAGTTTGATTTCATAAATTTTTCCTGATGGATAGACAAACTTTGAAAAAAGTGATCTCCTAGTTTGAAGTTTTCTTGAAAGGTAACTGGTGATGAAATAGCAGATTGTTTCCCTTGACCAGTCCAGGGGGAATATTCCTGGAGAAAGTGAATGAGTCAGGAGGAACCCTCATAGCACCCATAGGTTCTATGAGCTGAGGCTGTTCAGCCTTTGCATTGCTCTGGTTCATGTTCTGCTTCCTTCAGCCTGATACAGGCTCTGTGAATCAGAAAATAGGATATTACAATTCTGTAAGTCAGAAAAAGTCTTTTTGTGGTTATGGCTAATAAGTAGCACAGTGAGGTTCTGGCCAATGAGTCTGATGCTTAGTTACTGTTGCAAGACTTGCAAGTGGTAATACTCTTGTTTGGCCTCCAATACGGGGACTAGTTCAGGATCTCCTCTCAGCTACTTCTTGATGAAAAGATCAAAGCCCTTCAGGGATCTATACCACATCTGAGGCTTCTTTACACTGGCAGAACAAGGTAACCAAATGTAGTTGGATTGTTGAACAGCTCAGCTCTTTTGAACAGTTTTCGTCAATGTATGGTTCGGTGTCATCTATTCACCTGCTGTCCCTCTAGCTGTATTTCTGATCTTGATTAATTAAAGAATGTGTTCTAATGAACAGTTCCAGTCACCTTTCACTCTACCGTCTCTACATTATGTCCCAAGAGGCTTCCTAAAGGTAAGATAAGAGGAACTTTGCATAACAAAGCATCATGCAAAATTTTTCCTTGCTGAAATGCAGCAAAAACTTTTATTTGGCCTTCAGGTCCAACCTAGGGCTACAGAGATGGGTAACCAAGATGTTCCTCTTACTGGTTGCTGGGCAAATAGATTTATTTAACATTGTTAATCATGCAGGAAACAAAACTATTTGGTCAATGATCAAAGTGGAGAGGACAAGCAGGGCCTTGCGTGTTGATGAACTTTAGATACACTTAACCAAAGCTTACAAGCACTTTAAAAACAAAATGTCTTGGGTCTCACATTCTTCTGGTATAGAAGTAGAGAAAAATCACTGACCAGCAGCTAGGTTGCAGACAGCACCCTTGAAGCTAAATTTGTGGCAGGCTGTAATGAGAAGTCGAATTCTCCGCAGTGGATTGAAGACACTGACAGTGAGTTTCCAGGTCTATTTTTTTGTTTTGTCAGGAAGTTTCATAATTCACAGACTGTTTATAATATACTGCATTATAACTCTATGACAAATCAAGTTGATATCTAGGCATTTCAACCACTTCCCTTAAAAGTGGACCCATTGCTTTGGTCAGAAACATACTACCCAACCTCTGCTTTAGTGTTAATGCACTGGAAAACAGATACCTCAGTATTCATTGCGAGCTATGAAATATGCTTATAACACTAAGGGGCTACTCCAATTTATATTCTCTTATGTTTCTGTAAATTGCATTTGAATGTCTCTTATGCCTACTCTACAAAGCTGTGGTGGGGAAGAGCAATGCAGATGTATGAAAAGGCTGACATCATTCCTCCTGACTCAGTTGCCTGTGGTTGCCAAGAAGTTACAGTAAGGCTGTTTCTTGGAAGAAGGTTGCCTTTGTGGTCTCTAGACAATATGCTGCTTCATTTTTGCATTTCTTATGCAGATTACAAGAGAAGTGGAAGATTGACCTGTATTTATACATAAATGAAGATATCATTTGCCCAAATTCATTCAGTAAATCCATGGCAAAGCAGAGTATAGCTCTGCTCTTCTGAGCCCTATCCTCAAGGTAATGCTGCCTTTATAGTTGGCAGTAGTAACTTACTAAGCCTTAAATCATCAAGTTCTGCTTAATTTAATGTCAATGTTTGATGCTGAAAACAACGATGGATTTGGCTTATTGTGCATCTCTCCAGTGTTTTAGTTTCCTATGGAAATGAGCATATGCCACACTGGTATCCATGTCCTATTTTCTTGCCAAATATTTTCTAACCTAGGGGCATTTTATCTGCATTCAAGAGACAAAAATTTGAGGTAAGAATGTTTTATAAGACAGTTGGCTCCTGAGTACAGAAAGGAAATCCAAATTAGTACTGCCTGAGGGGGAAGATCTAATGTGATTTGTACCTACTGGCCAGTCACTTTGTCCACCCATACTCTGGGCTACAGCAGCTCATCCATACCACTCCAGGAGGGGAAGCTGGCAAGCGGGTGACACAGCAGGGTAGGAAAGGTATTGCAGGGACAGGGGGATATGCTGGCAGGAGGAAGCTGAAATCACAGTGTTAGAGTGTACGGACACAGGGAACAAACTTGTAGGAAGCCAGGTTCTGTATTTTCCACTGCTCAAAAAGATGAGCTCTACTGCTGTTTTCACCAACATTGGTCTGGTGGTGGGCAGTTTGGTGTTCTGATCCGTCCGTTGCCTGAATGCACCATCACCACCGGGAGATCCACCCACATTCTTTCTTTCTTCCTATCAAGGAGACAGAAGCTGCCCTAGGCAAAAGGTTGTTGGTTTTCTTTTTCCATGGATCTTTCCAAGAGGAAACTGTTCAAAAAGACATCCAGGCTGCCAAGATTCCCAGAAATCTGGGGGCTACTGCCAGCTACAAGAGTTAACTTCTTTTGCGAGTGCTTGCAGGCAGTTTTGCCTTGCTGAACTAGCAGTGGCAGAAATCCTTTTGAAGGGGATGCAAAACCCCCTTTGCCTCTGAATATCAAAGTTGTTGTCTAAGTACCACTCCAACACCTGCAGGCATCTTAATTAATCAAAATTATGAGCCCAGTTAAACAACCCAGCCATTAAGCCCCAGCTATTAAACATCATCAAGCTTTATTTGGTTCCCTAAGAAACATCTTGATTAAATGTATTGCAGTTAAGTAGAGGGTACTGTAGCTGTGGAATTGAGATAGAGGCTGTTTACAGTAGTATCCCAATAAACGGCGTGTTGTCATCTTGCTGCCTTCATGCATTCTGTCCTCCAGTTGTGGTGGCAGAGCCACCATTCCCATTTTGACTTGTTCCTGCCTTCTGGCAGTACTATGATGTTGTACTAAAGCACACAGCTCAGCTTGCTCTGTGTGTTTCACCTCCCTTCATATTCTGCTTTGTCCATGCACTGACCTTCTGAGGCAGATACTTTCCTCATAGTACAGCCTGAGAAAGAGAAAACCGAGGGGAGTTGCTCCATATAAATGCCTGAGACGGAGCAAGAACTTCAGTCTAGATTGTTCCCTTAAACCTGCAGTCTAGCTTCTGGGCTGCTCTCATTCCCGTCTTCCTCCAGGTCTGCTGTTGATATCATCACATGCCCCTTGTATTTGTTTTAAAAGGAAGACTACTTCATTTTCCTGCTCGTCAGTTTAAAGTTTGTATCCAAAATTTCTGTGTACTTCTTTCATTGTGTGCAACACTGCTTTATCAGTATCGCTTCCCTCCAGATAAAGTTTATCTAAAATAACTAAGCTCTATCTATGTGTACAGAAAGATCTCTCCTCTACAGCCTACAGAGTGTGTAAGGAAATGAGACTGGTATTGCTTCTGTCTTTCTCATCTAACCTCAGGCCCTGATGCTCAGTGCAGGAGACTGGGCTCCTGTGGGCAAAACCGAGCTCTGCAGCATCCCTCGCAGGCTGACACCGGAAGGAGAGTAAATACTTCCCTGAGAGCTTCCTTTGTGTAACATCTGTCCCTAAGGGATCCCAAATTTTCTCATTCAGGTAGCAGGCAACTGCTTTTAGCAATATCTACTCTAGATGTTTGACAGCACAGGCTACTGGATATACAGCAAAACAGACTGATGGACACACCAATGCCAAACCGTCCAGGCGGTGCCTCGAATATGTCCAGCAGGCTCACTGTGCACTCACATATCCACTGCTCGTGCACCTCCTCATGCTGGAGTGGGTGCCTTTGAAGCTGCTGGTGTTGTCAGGCCTTGACCTTCTTCTCTGCAGCCATTCATGGATTCATCCTTCTTCTCTAAGGTGCCCTACAAGAGCTGCCACTGTGGACAGGCAGTCACTCTTGTTTGCCTATGGTCTTGGCTCCAGGGAAAGGTGCCTGGAATTCACTGGGAGTTGGGTTATTTCTTTCCTATAAACTTCACAAATGGGACAACATTTCTCTCTTTGCATCTCTCTTTGCCTTCTCCTTCAGGTAGAATTTACTTTCATGTTGTGATGCAGAACAGCCAGTCCCCGTTTTTCCTTTTCCCTTCTGCTCATTTCAGGGGACTCTGATCTCTTCTCCCCATTCCTAAGTGCTTTATCTTACTTCCCTTGGTCATTCTCACGTAAGGACATTTCTCACCAGAGTCTCCTCACAGGTTGCAGCTGACATATCTGACCCTCGCTGACTGTGCCAAGCGTTGGAAGTGTGTGATTCATCTGCCCTCAGCCTAATGCCAGGTGAAGCACTTTGTTCTTCTTTGCTAGGCATTCATCTGTGTGTATGGGAAGAGGACACAAGCAGGAGCACCACAGGCAGAACCTGGATTGCATTAAGGCAGTGATATATGTATGTATGTATGTATATTTAAGGTCCACATCACAAAAGCTGTAGATGGTACAGGTCAAGGCGGAGCTGTGTGAGGAGCATTGACAGAACTGAGAAGAGGCCTCTTGGCACAGGCACTACTGCTGGAGTAGCCAGTCCCACAGGTCCTCGGTACAAATGGCTCGTTATGAAGGAATGATCCAATTCAGAAAAAGTCAGAATAATTCAGAATTTAAGCTTTTCCCAAGGCCTGAAAAGTTTCTCTCTGCTTCCTGATGTGTCTCTCTGTGTCCCAGATTAGCATTTAAAGAAGTTTTTGAGATCCAGTCTAGTGCAACAATGACACAGACAACACAGGAGTGCCTTTGGTTTTGGAGTATTTCTCTCAGTCCATTGAAATCTTTGGCCACGTTGGGTTTACTCTTCTCAAGGTCTCCTTTTTATGTCTTTCTCTGTCTTCACACATTCATTTCTGAAGAGATCACAGGAAGTTGTCAGCATGTAGCAGATACTGTCCACCTACAACCCTTAGAGACC